TTTCGTCTGACAAAGCGATAATATCAAGAAGTCACGTTGACCATGGTGAGATTCGAACCTGGGTCCAATAATTGAATGCGAACATTCTAACCACTCGGTCAGGCGCCCATACTTTAAAGATCTAATAAAAGATTACAATTACAACATTAATATTACCTGGCTAATAAAAGAAGCATGGTTCTTGAACTGACAATGAAAGAACATATGCCCAATGCTGTTGTATACTTGTATTATTATTATTGATTAATTGATTGATTGATTGATTGATGGATTGAGAGAGTCCCCTATCAACAAGGTGATGCTGTGATAAAAAAATATACGACACTCGATATATCCATCATAATCCCTTGCTTCATAAGAGGGATACCACGCACATGCAACACAGTCAAATAAGCGCGACATGTTTTAATAATAATATTTTGATATAATTTCGACGAAAATCTTAAGTTATATATTCTGAAAAAAATGAAAAAATTAAATCTTAACAATCCTAAAAGAAAAAAAAGGTAGAATTTTCTTTAACCCCAACATCTAAAAATATCAAATTTGTCTGGACTTATAAATTAAGAGAATCAATTTCAAAAAGTTATTGTTAGCATCGCTTGAAAATGAAACGGAACTTTGTATTTTAAATTTAATTTATGTTTGAATTTAATTTGGGGTTTCAGTTTTAAACATGGGAATTTCGATGTTGCGATGATTATATATCTAAAAAAAATGTAATAATATATATATATATATATATATATATATATATATATATATATATATATATACTCTCGACTCTCTCCCCGCCGAATATATAAGGGTCAAACTGATCAGTTCCTAGGAAACCGACAACCCAACAATACGACATGAGATTTGATTATAGTGGTGAATGCTTTGTGCCGAACCATCCACACTTTTTGAAGGGCCGATTACAGAGATCTGATGCACTACGCGCCACAAGGTCCCCAAACGACCCTCCGCAGGTTTTGAATTCAGAGTTGTCCTTCTCCTAGACCAGTTTCCATAGAACCCAGTCTGTCCTGCTATTTACCCATAGCTGGAGGCACAGGGAGTAATGTTTAGCGGCTTGGATTGAGGAATCGGGGAGCCGAGTTCGAATTACAGTTGAATCCATTACATTCACTTACGTGCTAATTACCCTTTGGGAAAGGTATGAATCCTCTTCTTCTCCCTCCAGCTATATATATATATATATATATATATATATATATATATATATATATATATATATATATATGATAAGCAAATATAATGGATATAAATCCGACAGAATGAAGAAAATATCTGGAAAAACAAAACAAAAATCCTTAAATGCGATTAAAAACAACATAATCGCATTTTAAGGTTTTGTTTTTCCAGATATTTTCTTCATATATATATATATATATATATATATATATATATATATATATATATATATATAAAAAAATATTCATACATATATGTATGTATGTAATGAAATATAAAATGAAATCGTCTCTGGATAAGGAAAGGTAAAAACTGACCAGACAAATAAAATTCGGATTATTCCAAGTTGGTGTTATTTTATGCAAATACATTTAAGAAAGACACATGAATCAAAACTTCTGTGGACATTATTATCATTGTATCATCTCTTCAGAAAACAATTCCACAATATATGAGAAAGAAAATGTTATACCGGAACGTACCTATTTCTATTGTAAATTGACTCTCACACAGATAAGTAGTAGTAGTAGCAGTCGCCAGTGAAGCTCAGTGAGTTGTGTGAGTCAGTCGATGTCGGACATTAAAGTATCAACCACCACAACTAGATTGCTGCGTCATTAACTATTATTTCAAGTTCCTAACGTTTTGTATGCCGGACCCTTTTAGGACCGACTGAGTGTAGTACAAGCCTCCACTGTGAAAATTACTCTACAACAGAAAACAAGAGAGACATTGAGTGAATCTCTATCGATGTAAACCAGTGAAAATATTTTAACATTCCCCACATAAAAGAGATTAATCACTTAACATAATACGTGGTCATTTTGCAAAGCTTTGAATTAGTAGAGGCTGTAATGAACTGCGAATTGGTTACGCATCTCATGACCTTCTTTCACATAAACAATATGGCTTTCGCTTTTTCTTTTCTTTTTTTTAATCATTTCACCCCAACCAAGGCAATAAAGTTACTACGAAACAATGGGTTACTGAGTGTGAAAGAATTTTAGGAAAAAATACAATTAAAGAGAGAGAGAGAGAGCAATAAAAGAACAGAAGACGACAGAAGATAACGATTGAGACTACATTTAAGTTTTTTGAAGAACAAAGTTGACTGGGAAAAAAAAAGCCGTGAGAGAGTTCCACGAGTAAGAAGTGTGAGAGAATAAAACGTTAGCATAGAACATAGGGTTACATCTAATACTTACAACTGTAAGGGCAAAAGACATCCCTGCCAATCTAATACAACGCTTAAATTCATAAATTCTAGGTACCACAGAAGAAAGTTCAGCAGATCTTCTCTAGGTCAAGCGCCGATGTGTTACTGGTTATTATTAAAAGTGTTCATAAATTTTCAGATATCTCGAAAGCGATTGACAGTGTTTCGACTGGTTCACCTTCTTCACAATCTAAAGAGTGATGGAATCTCTGGCCGAATATTTGATCTATTCTAATCTTTTTTGAACAAATCGTGTAATGGAAATCATGTTGAAGTGACACTTTCCTATATCCTTTCGCACTAATTGCACCCCCCACCACAACTCTGGCCTTGAAGCTACGACAACTTTCCCGATATCATTGATTCCTAGATTCCTATTTATTCTGATAACACAACTACTTATTCCAGTTTAAGTAGTAAGCCCGATAAACTTAAACTGACAGCTGATACTCATAAATGATTCCCAGTCAGTTCTAAACTGTTGCTTGTTTATTTTTAACGCCGTAAAAACGAAACGTCCATCATAGAGAATTTTTTTTTTTACCTTCCATCAGCACGGCTGATGCTAACCTCCAAAATATCAACCCACTGCGACTCATGTTTTTCACTGATATGAAGTGGAATGATTCACAGCGCCATGTCGAACAATCACGTGGTCAAGATAAACACTCAGTTGTGGAGCAAGCTGAGTGAAGAATGATTCAAATTGAGGAAGAGAGTTATTTATGGTGCAATGGAGCATCTCATTATGCTAAAGTGGGATAGTCCATTGCTTGGGCTTTGATTGGCTGCTGGTACCTGAGTGGAAGTATTTCTATATAAATACCAGCTTAATTTCAGTTAGTTTGCAGGGTTTGTATTAAGTGACAACCTGCTTTATTTTTGTCTGCCAGCTGGACGCTAGCTGGAACTCTTACGCCGGTAAGTGTCGTTTATTGTATTGTTATTCTACAATATTGAATCAATTGCTGCTAGAAACATTGGTTCACTGTGTCATGCAAGACAATTTATTTTTCTCGTTAGAATCCACTGGATGTTTATAAATTTACCATTTGTCTGTACATTGAATATTCCTGATAAATCTGGTTCTCTTGCTATATATTCCGATGTTCTCGACAAAATCCAAAGCAGGGTCTTTAGTGTTATCGGTCCTAACATGGAATCTCGACTTCAGTCATCTTCTCACCGCCGTATCGTGGCTTCCCTCTGTCTTTTCTACAAATATTTCCATGACAATTGTTCTAATACGCTCATAACCTTGTTATATCAACCACATAAATTTAAGCATACTACTGTAATGACGACTGTCTCGTTATTTTAATATTAAATTTACTGGATTCAGCCTTAAGTTCTATTCTAATAGTTTCTTTTCTCGCACCTCTCGCTTGTTGGTTACATCCTTCCCTGCCATCAACGATCTTCATGAAGTTTCACGCAATGTCAATTGTCATCTTCTGTCATCCTCAAATTCTTTTATTGTCTTTTATCCTCGTTAACGTCTTCTCATCTTTCATTCTCAGTAACAACTTGCGTCTTAGTGACATTATCTCCTTGCTTGGGGTTAAATGATTAAAACTAATGCAGTGATACCTCATTGAATGGCTATTCTATGTTGGTGTCAATACACTGCAAATGTATCGATTATTGATATTTGTTTAGTTTTTGTTTAGTGGTATATCAGCACCTCTATGGGTCATTTAATGCTGAAATACGTGCAAATACACTTGGGAAACGTATGAATTCACTTCTTCTCCCCCAAGATATGGGTTAATTAGTAAGACTTATATCACTAAATTATTACCAAAAAAAAATGCGCACAAAATACTTACATTTCAGCATTAAATGACCCATAGAGGTGCTGATATACCACTAAACAAAAAGCAACATGAATCGTTGTGTCGTATACTTCTACCGAAAATGTCAATATTTGTGTCATTATTATTTTTATTATTATTGTTTTTTGTTATTGTTGTTGCTATTGTTGTTGTTGTAAATGTTGGGGAGGTGTTGTGGGATGATATGAGTTATCTGGGGCCATATATGGCGTCATCGGAATTTGGTCATGAGAAGCAACGCGCAGTTTGGCGTCACGTTTCTCCGTCGCTTGACAACATCGCTAGTGATTTATTCAACAACTTAAGGAAGCATGAACCAAAAAATAATTCCATTTTCTGAAATTCTTTTCTTAAGTTTATCCGACAATTAAAATTTCAAAGACTGTCTGTATTTTTAATATTTATATTCAAATCGGAACCAACCTATCATTTGTCTTACTGCCTATTCGTGATTTCTTCCTTCCGTTCTTTACAGCGTTTATTTTCTTTTATTTTGGATTCACTTCTTTCCAAGTTGTTTGTAAAATTATTTCCAGCCTTTCTTTTATTCTTTCTTTATATTTACTTATATTTTTTTTTTCTTTTTCTGCATTTGAAATGTTTCTCCTTCCAACCATTTTTATTTCGCTTTCTTTTATTTTAAATCTGTCTTCTGCTTTTCTTTTTTTTGTTGTCACCTTCTTTATCTTCTCTCTCCTTCACTCGATAATTTCTTTCTTTCTCCATAATTTTGTTCTTTTCTTTTCTCTCTTATGAATTCTTTCTTTCCGTCTTTCTTTCTTTATTTCCACATAATTTTTTTCTTTTTTTTCTCTCTCTTTCTACTGAGGTCTATTCTTTCATTCTTTTTTACTCTCTCCAAATTTTCATCCTTTTTCTCTCTACAGAATTATTTCTTTCTTTTTTCTTTCATTCATTCATTCTTTCTTTCTCCTTAATTTCGTTTATTTTTTCTTTTCTCTATACTGAATTTTATTCTTTCTTTCTTTCTTTCTTACTCTTTCCAAATTTTCATCATTTTTCTCTCTATAGAATTCCTTCTTTCTTTCTTTCTTTCTTTCTTTCCCCATATTTTTCTCTCTACTGAAGTCTATTCTTTCTTTCTTTTTTACTCTCTCTAAATCTTCATTCTTTTTCTCTCTACAGAATTCTTTCTTTCTTTCTTTCCCCTTAATTTCGTTTATTTTTTCTTTTCTCTATACTGAATTCTATTCTTTCTTTCTTTCCTTCTTTCTTTCTCTCTCCAAATTTTCATCATTTTTCTCTCTATAGAATTCCTTCTTTCTTTCTTTCTTTCTTTCTTTCTTTCTTTCTTTCTTTCTTTCCCCATATTTTTCTCTCTACTGAAGTCTATTCTTTCTTTCTTTTTTACTCTCTCTAAATCGTCATTCTTTTTCTCTCTACAGAATTCTTTCTTTCTTTCTTTCTTTCTTTCCCCTTAATTTCGTTTATTTTTTCTTTTCTCTATACTGAATTCTATTCTTTCTTTCTTTCCTTCTTTCTTTCTCTCTCCAAATTTTCATCATTTTTCTCTCTATAGAATTCCTTCTTTCTTTCTTTCCCCATATTTTTCTCTCTGCTGAAGTCTATTCTTTCTTTCTTTCTTTCTTTCTTTCTTTCTTACTCCCTCCCAATTTTTTATCTTTTTTCTCTCTACAGAATTCTTTCTTTCTTTCTTTCTTTCTTTCTTTCTTTCTTTCTTTCTTTCATTCCTTCTTTCTTTCCCCTTAATTTCTTTTATTTTTTCTTTTCTCTATACTGAATTCTATTCTTTCTTTCTTTCTTTCTTTCTTTCTTTCTTTCTTTCTTTCTTTCTTTCTCTAATTTTTCATCTTTTGCCCCTCTATATAATTCTTTCTTTCTTTTCCCCCAAATTCTTTTTTATTTCTCTTTCTCTCTTTCTCCGGAATGCCTTTCTTACCCCTCTTCTCCAAGTTTCCATTCTCCTGTTTTTCCATATATTCTCTTGTCTTTTCTCTCTAAATGTATTTCCTTCCTCCAAACTTTCTTCTATCTTTTCTCTCTCAAGTCTTCAAATTTCTTCCTTCTCTCTCTCCCCCCTCTCTCCCTCTCTTTCTCTCCAACCTCCATTTCTTATTTCTTTTTTTATTTCTTCCTTTCTTCAGATTTTCTTTCTTACTTCTTACCATCTCCCTTCCTTTTTTTATTCTTCATTGCTCTTTATTGTTGCTCTTATCTTCCATCCTCTCTCTTATTTATCAACTTACTTTCTTTCTTAATGTCGTCTTTGTTCTTTTCATTTTTCTCTTCCTCTCTCTATTTATCCATCTCTTCTCGGTATACAACCTCTTTTTTCTTTTCATTCTCTCTTTGGAGATTTGAACGTTTATTCCTTGTTAACCTTTCGATGTATTTTCTCTTTATTTAGTTCTTCCGAGATTTGAATTATCGACATTTCAAAATCAACCACTGGACGCAAATATTTTTATTGTATTCTTTTAAGCCAGAAGAAATTCTTCCTTCATCTCAGCATCATTGGAACTCGATTCGCCATTTTAAAAGAACTTCTTTCTACGCAGCATTTTCTGTGATGAGTTCCTTTCTTTCCTTTCTAAAATCTTAAATTTCCAAATGCCTCTAGATTTATCCAGAATGCCTTCACTATGTTTCCGAGGACACTGGTCTGCCCAGGCGGCTAGCGAATCCCTCTTACAAACGCTCCCTCTGGTATATTCTTTTTTCTCCAGGGAGGTCACTTCTGGCTGATATTGGGAGAAAGCGAATAAATTGGTATGATTTACACTTTGGACAAGGTCAGCATCCCCCAAGTAACAGTCACGATTATTTGTGAGTTCGTGCGAGTACAACCATCGATAATTTCTTAATAGTTCAATCTAAACAATTTCCCTCACAAGGCTTGGGTCAAGCCTCAGTATTTTTTCAGGCACTGTCCAATGGTTTTCCACGCTGGAATCGCTTCCACAGAAGTCACCTTCAGAATATTCTATATTTATTAACATCGATTTAGATCTGTTGAACGAGGTTCGAAACCGGTTAGCCTGCTCGTTTTTCAGTTTTACCTTTTACTTATTATCATTATGAGTGGTAGTAAATTTACTTTTTTGTCTTTTCATGGCGGTCATAAAATTTTGTACTATCAATCAGATCTTTAAATATTTCAAGCCAAGTTACAAATCGGACTTAATCAGTGGGCTGAATCCTTTGTTAAAAATTAAAAGTAAAATCAGAACTGTCTCAGCTACCAAGTCCTTTCAGTGTATAGTCTGTGTCAGGTGTTTTCGCCAAGTTAAGGTTTAAATTGATCCTTTAGCTTCCAATATGAATTAATTAAATGCTACTTCCTGTTACCTCTAACATTACAGACATGAAATTCATTCCACACCGGGGTTGAAAAAACAGACGATCACTTTTGTCCTCTGCCGAAATAGCCTATTCCCCATATTACATAAAAGGATGTATTTAATTATTAATTTTATTGCTATACATACATAAAATATACCGAGTTGCATTTTTGTGGATTATTTCTAATAGTTTTATATTACTAGGGACCACTTGTATTATGCACCAACAAATTTTTATCTTAGTGTATATATATATATATATATATATATATATATATATATATATATATATATATATATATATATATATATATATATAAAAGATATGGATATATATATATATATATATATATATATATATATATATATATATATATATATATATATATATATATATATAAAATGAAAAAATATCGTTTTAAGGTGTGCTATATTTTTTGGGATAAAATTCTCAATATCGGAATAGAGTTTATGTAAAAATAAAAGTGAACATTGAAGTCAACACTCCAGAGGCGACAGGCTATTTCATGCTGATGATTATGTCTAGCATGAAACACCCCGTCGCCTCTGGAGTGATGACTTCAATGTTCATTTATATATATATATATATATATATATATATATATAAAGTCTAAAAGATTTCGTTTTTCCACACATCTTCCCTGCTAAATTGTTCTTGATATATATAAATTTATATCTTTATATGTATATGTATTGATACAGCGAAAACTATCTGTATATATATATATATATATATATATATATATATATATATATATATATATATATATATATATATATATATATATATATATAATATAATGACATGGATTAAGTCCGATAATTATTTAATATATTTTCTGTTTATAAAAATAACGAATAAACAAAAAATATATTAAATATATATCTACGACTCTCCCGTCGAATTCGACGTATGAGGGTCAACAAATCAGCTCTTAGGAAACCGACAGCCCGACAACAGCACATGAGATTTGATTATAGTGGTGAAAGTTTCGTGCAGGACCATCCACACTTTTTGAAGGGCCGAATGCAGAGACCTGGTGCTCTTCGTGCCACAAGGCCCCCAAACGACCCTCCAAAGGCTTTGAATTCAGAGTTGTCCTTCTCCTAGACTAGTTGCCATCCAAGGCTATAGCTGGAGGAAGAAGAAGAGTAATTGATTCTACTGAAATTCGAACTCGGTTCTCTGATTCCACAATCCAAGCCGCTATCCATTACCCCACTATTCAATTTAAATAGTAAAGAGACAACAGTCTGTTTTGTATTTAAACTGAATTAATAATTGCTCTGATTTGACACAGAGGTCGCTGGATTACATCCTCCTTCGGATTATCCATACGGATTACCAAACTTTTCATTACTTATAATATATATATATATATATATATATATATATATACTTTCAAAATCAGGAGGTCAATTGAATCCGCCATCTTGGTTTCAACCTTACGGTATCCTCAGGCAATTTTTATCAAATGACCACTTAACGCTTTTTTTTATTTTTAAAAAACTAAAGAACGCTACATTATTATTTCCAAAAATAAATAAAGAAACGCACGTCGTTGGATGTAATAGAAAGGGAGGAGGAGGATGTAAAGAATGAAAAAGAAGAAGAAAAAGAAGAGAAGAAAGACAAGTGTATTGTAAATGCATCGGTTAGGGGCTTAAATACATTTCTTTATAAAGCCTCATATGCATGTAAGAAAAAATTTCTGATATGTAAGAAAGTGCTTAAAATTTTGGATTTCTGGTTTAGAAGTGTTTTGTTGGATCAGGAAATGTCATAATCGCTAATTTTTCCTGTTGGCAGAGGTGACAAGTATGCTTGTGATTGTTGTATGATTTTAAATTTAAAAAAAAATGTTTCTTCCTTAACAACCGATACTTGTGGTGGAATTTTTTTTTAAATATCAAAACCATACAACAACTACAACCATATTGTCCATGGGGGCATCAAATTCGTCGTTGTGACACTTAGTCCACGTGGAATTATTTAATGTTAGCAATGCTTTTCTAGTTAAGATGATATTGGTTTCATCATCCATTATCTCCATCTAGCTTTTTGCAAAGTTAATACTATTAACTAGGAGGTCCCTAGAGATAGAGGAACAGAAATCTATAATATCAAAATTAATGAACGTCGCTTTATGATTATTACTCATGTTGACGAACCATTTGATAATATCTGATGAATCCTTCCAAAGGTAATACAGGTTGTGATTACTAGTTTATCGGTTTTTTTTTTTTATGATATTTTTTTTTAGATTAGACGGATTTCAGTTTTTGTTTGGTTTATTAGTTAAGACTTTGCACTACTAGCAAAGTTGGATTCATGGTCCTGAAATAAAATGTAGGCATCTTTAGTATGGATCTTTCCCATTCTATCTGCAATATTTAACTTATTGGCTATTTCGCTGATCTCTGTATCGATCCGAGATATAATATTGTATCTATATAGTTCGTGTGTTTCTAATATATTAGAAAAAAATATATGGTCTGTTAAAAGACATTGAGCTCTCTGTGGATCAGTTTTAATATTTGATATTACTAGGATCCACTGGATTATATACCAACGTATCTGTTACCTGTACTATATATATATATATATATATATATATATATATATATATCTTTGCGATTATCAGACAAACACTGAGTTTTTGATGGTCGCAAAAGCGTGTAACCCAGCTTCACAAACTCATATTCATACAACTGAATATGTTAGCTCTATAACAGATATTATTGAGCGCTTTCCACTAAGTACTTTCCGCATACAAAATAAAATCTATCTATCTATCTATCTATCTATCTATATATATATATATATATATATATATATATATATAATACGATTGTGTATTTAGACAGAAGTTCCTATATATAAGTTTCATTAAAGACGACTGACAAGGTACTGCATTTAATCTTCCTATCTAATTTTTCTTTTGTTCATATCTATTTTTTTTTTGTTTTTTTTTTCTAAACATGAGCTTCGTAAAAACTCTCGGGATGTTTTATATACCCGATGTCTTCCGATTATTCTTTTAGCCATTACCAAGGTTGTTTATTTTTAATTTTTAATTCTAATTTAATGTGTAGATTTTTATGAATGTACCTCTAGTTATGGAACATTTTTTATAAACACGGTCAGCACATTGTGACCGTGTTCATAGTTGATGTTACTGAGTGTTGGCTTTTCCTTTTTTTATTATCAATGCTTCCATTATTTTTAATTTTTTTTTGTTTTGTTTTTTTGGTTTTTTACATGTAGATGAGGCTATTATAGTTGTTGTGGATTCCGGGATGAAATCCGGTACCAATAAATAACAAACGCCAAGAAGGAATACAGGAAAATAAATGTATTAATGTAATAATACAAATGGTAATGCAGGTTAGTAGTTCCAGGAATGCGGGTTAGTAGCAAAATATATATACAGTCTTTGGTATTGAAGTATCGCTGTATGACTTCTTACTGAGTCTCCGTGCTCACTCACTGTGACTCTTGCTCGGTACGTTCGTTCTGGTTCATCCTCTGTTCATCGCTCTTTCTCGTTCTTCTCCCGGGTATTCACTAGCAGTAGTATATGTATACCCTGGGTGAGTCCATTTGTGTAAAAAGGCTGAGAACGCCTCAAAATTAGTTATATTTTCTACATGTTGTGGATGGAATTTTCTAGGTTTCCGTGTGTCTTTAAAGGAGCCCTAATTGAGCTATGGTCACAGAGATGGAACCTGAGTCTTCTTGAAAGGTATGTGCAATATAATTATTCATAAATATGGTTTGATCAGGAACGCAGCGACACGTGATTACATAAATAATATTGGTTTTGTCTAGTTGTTATTGATAAGGTTAACTGTTTAATATTTTTCTTGTAGATAATTAAGTTAATTTTCTTGTT